GTGCAGACATAAAGGACACAGCATCCAGCAAACACTGTGACAAAGGGTGAGCCTAAAACAGATGTGGGAAAAATAAACAGCCTTCCTGCTTCAGAATTTACAAAATGGTGCACAAAGAGGCGACTGGGCCTTCACTCCACCATTTGACTGCAGGGCCCGTTAAAACAGATGCAACTCTCTCCGATCAACCCAACATTCTGCTTGACTTGTAACATTAAAGCTTTCTTTGACCATAGTCAGTAAGCATAATTTAAAGTATTCCATGCTGCTTATGAACACAGAAGAATAGCTGACAATTTATAGATAGTGACTCATTTACAGCATTTTTACTTGATGTAGCACATTGTGTCTCTGTTACAGAGCCCAAGCAACATGCTTCTTCACAGACAATTCTAGAAATTGACTACAGCGATTTTAAACTTAGGTATAGAGATACCAGAAAGCAATCTTTTCAAGATGGGTCTGCATTCTTTCCCAAGAAGTTTATAGCTATTATAATTATATTTGTCCTTGCAAGAAGAAATAGTAAGGGCTGGGGAGATAGCCTAGCAGTCTAAGGGCCTGTCTGGCAAGCGCAAGGATCCGGGTTTGATCCCTGGCACCACATGATACGCTGGCCACAGAACCCTAGGTGTGCAATGCCAGCCACCAAAACTGGGCGTGGTGATACACGCCTGTAATCCCAGCACTAGGGAGGCTGAGTCAGGAGGATCACTATGAGTCTGAGCGGCATAGCGAGACCCTGAACCAAATATTTATATTAATAAATAAATACATAAATGAAAAGGTATATATAATGTGTTGCCCAGAAACTTACAGGATTAGTGGGAGAGGGCTTGTTTGTCATTTTTGTGAACACAGGTACAGCTTCCCTTCAGAACTGTTCCACAACATATTCTCCACTTGAACTCATGTATAGTAACTACAACAAACACCCTGGGACATCCTCACACCCAGATTCACCCCGTCACTCACATTTGAATGGTGGGTTCACACACGGAGGCCTAAGTCACCACTGCCTTAGGAAATGAATATAAATGTGACTTTTAGACAT